GGGGCCAGGGAGATGGCTCAGTGGAATAAGCGCTTCCCTGGCAAGCGCAAGGGCCTGAGTTCAATCCCCGGTTCCGCAAAAAAAAAAAAAAAAAAGTGTGCACCACCATGCCCAGTTTCAGTGGCCAGCACAGCGTGCCCAAGATTCCAGGGCTAGCACAGCATGTAGTACTGGGGATCAAACCCTGGTCCTTGCACTTGCCAGGTAGGCACTTAGACTGTCAAGCTATCTCCCCAGCTCATTTTTTATTTTCTTGAGATAGGGCTTTACTATATAGCCCAGGCTGTCCTTGAACTCAAAATGGGGGCCAAGGAGATGGCTCAGTAAAATAAGCTCTTGCCTAGCAAGTGCAAGGGCCTGAGTTCAATCCCTGGTTCTGCCAGAAAAAAAAAAAAAAGTGAATTCACAATGATCCTCCTGCCTCAAGCTCCCATGTGCTGGGATTGGAACCATGCGCGCCTGGCTCAATCCCATCTTTGGTAACTGCCTTGTCCATGTTATAGTGAGGAAACCTGAGGTTCCAAGAATTCAGAAGCAAATCAGGCACCACACAGGGAGTGAGGGACAGGCTAGAACCTGGTCACTGCGCCCTCACAGCTCACTCCCATCCTCTGGGTGTGGCTGCCCCTATTTTTTTCCTGCACTCTCTAGGATTGGTGATCTATGTTGTGGCATGGGGAAAGCAGACTTAGGGGCTTTGGGGTTCACAGTCAGGGTGGAATAGGCAGGATAAAGACTTTTCCCCTCTGAAGTTCAGATTTAGGATTGAGGCCATTTTGGTGGTGGTGGTAAGGGAGACCCTTGGGAAAGAGCTCAAGGAAATTTGGGGTAAAAGTCTTTTCTCTATACCTTTTCCCCAAAGATGGGGGATGGGAGACTAGGATAGGAAGGGTTAAATGTGGCTTCTTCTTCAGCCAAGAGGGGGAGGGAGGGCTTAGTGCCAGGGAGGGGCTGAGAGTGGGAACAGCCTGAGCCTGTCCCTCACGTTCCACTAACCGTGCCCCCGCCATGCTTCTGCTTCTGGTTTAGGGAGCAGAAGGGGGGAGAGTCAGTGCAGAGTTTTTGTTTTGTCTGGGAGGCTGAGCGTGGATGCCATGCTCTGGGGGAGAAGGGTGCAGCAAGAAGAACCCACGTCCTGGGTCCCCTCCCTTACTAGGTTCCTTCCCTCTGTGCTGCCCAGTCACCCACACAGAAATGAGAACCCAAGTGTCCCCATCCCAATCCCCTCCACACACACCCAGAGTCTTCACCCTAGTTTAATCTCACTGCAGCCCCAGGTCCCCTGGAGGCCTGCCCACCTGAGAACCAAGCGCTTGCTATCCAGGCCTGCTTCCCATGTGCCAGCATCCCGGAGCTAGTGGAGTTAGCAGCATAATCGAATTCCCCAGCTTCCTTGGCAGAAAATAAGCCACAGGAGTGCCCCTCCTGCCCATACCTCTGGCAGGATGACCGGGAACTGAGCTCCACCATCTCTTGGACAGGGTGTGTGACTGGCCAGATGGCCCAGACTAGAGAGCAGAAGGCTGAGAAAAAGTTGAGACCCAAGGATGGACGGAAGCTGCAGGGACAGGGAAAGCTCGGGACCTCGTGATGCTGTTTGGTGAGATGGCCTGGTGAGACTCCTCCCTAGATCAAGCAGACCTGGTCAGGGGGTAATGGGGAGGTCAGCATGGTGCTGGCCTTCATAACCATTAAGACTGTGAGGTCTTTGCTGTCCCCCAAACCCCAGTCTCTAGCTGGAACCAAGAGGAAGAACCAAGATGGAGACTGAACACTGGCTGTCCAGTACACCCCTCCTTCAGCCCTTTCTGGGAACCACAAGAATCTGGGACCTGGTGGCCTGGCAACATGATGAATGCACACACAATTCTGGTATCTGTTTTAAATTATCCATTAAAATAAGTACAGTCTTGGAAAAAAAAAAAATAAGTGCAGTCCTGAAGTTGGTTGGGTGGGGTAAACTGTAGAAAGGGACAGAATGAGGAGAGACCTAGGCCGCCTTTTCCAAGGCCTGAGTTCAAAGGAGGAGAGCAGGAGGTGGGAGAGGGCAGCCTCTGGGTCCTATTCTTAGCCTTCTCTGGGGGACTGAGGGTTGTTTGCATCAAAGACTCAGCGGTTGGTTTTAAAGGGAGATAAGTTGGGACAGAACATAGGCTAAAGAGCCCCAGGTTTCTGATTCTGCGTCAAAATTGTGGGCATGAAGGAGCTTCTCAAGAAACCCAGGCATACCCCCCTCCTGGCTTTCCGAGCTGCAGCGGTGAATGGGTGGCCCACATGTGGAGGGGGTAAGGTGACTCACTACTGGGAGGCAAGGGGGGCCAGTGGTGGAAGCAGGGTGAGTCACTCGGATGGGCACTACTGGGCCCTCCCTACTCGGCTTCCTAGCCCAGCCATCTGGCCCACTCCCTTGCTTTGCACCCACTCACCACCCCCACCCCCACCCCTTTGCCCACCCACTGCTATTCTTTAGCTCTGCCCTCTACTCCAGAAGGCCTGAGGCGCTAGGGACAAGCTTGGAGCTGACAGTTAAGCAGGCAGAAACCAAGAGTGTCGAGCCTCACTTCAGCCTGGGGTGCGCGGGAGGGTGCAGTCCTGCCCCTTTAAGAGCAGCGGCCCCGCCCCCTGCAGAGGAGGACCTATTAGAGCTGGGCCCCGGCGCCGGTGACTCAGTGTTCGCGGGAGCGCCGCACCTACACCGGCCAACCCAGATCCCGACGTCCGACTGCGCCCGGCCCAGCTCTCCGATCCCGCTGGAGCCTGCCGCCCGCGCGCTCCGCCCCCGACCAGTCTCTGCCTGCCGTCCAAGCCCCACGCCCTCCCCGGGACCCCTGCCCTTCGGGCAGCGCTGCCACCCTGCCGGCCATGGAGACCCCGTCCCAGCGGCGCGCCACCCGCAGCGGGGCGCAGACCACTTCCACCCCGCTGTCACCCACCCGTATCACCCGGCTGCAGGAGAAGGAGGACCTGCAGGAGCTCAATGACCGGCTGGCGGTCTATATCGACCGCGTGCGCTCGCTGGAGACGGAGAACGCAGGGCTGCGCCTTCGCATCACCGAGTCGGAGGAGGTGGTCAGCCGCGAGGTGTCCGGCATCAAGGCCGCCTACGAGGCCGAGCTGGGGGATGCCCGCAAAACCCTCGACTCGGTGGCCAAGGAGCGCGCCCGCCTGCAGCTGGAGCTGGGCAAAGTGCGCGAGGAGTTTAAGGAGCTCAAGGCGCGGTGAGTGCAGCCAGGTGCCGGCGTGCTGGGCGCGGGCGGGAGGGCAGTGGGCAGCGCGGCCGGCCGGCTCCAGGAAGGAGCCGAGGGCCCAGAGCAGCAGATAACTTTGCCAGTCTCCTCCTTCCCGGGAACTGCCTCCAGCGGGTGACTGGCAGTGCGTAGGGAATTGTCAAGACCGCACAGGGTGGGCAGGGGTCTCTGGGAGAGAGTGGGAGTGGTAAGGAGTGGTGGGGACATTGTGAGTAGGTCGGGACTGGTAGTGGGCCCTCAGTCAGTCAGGTTGGAATTTGACAGCTCTTGGAGCCTGAGGGAGGGGCTTGAGCAACGTAGAACTGGCCCTGCTAGATCTCTGAACTCTGGACACCCAGAACACATGGGCATGGGTGAAAGGGTCCTCTTAGAACTTGCTTGGCACCGTGCCAACTTCGCCCAGCCTGGCCCTGAATACATGATAGCTTCGGAGACAGAGCCCAGACGTCTGTCCAGTAGAAAAAGAGAGGTCACCAAAGCAGGGTGGCCCCCTTTGTCCTATGCAGAGGGTGAGGTGGTGACCCCTTTGACATGATCTTTTCCTGGCTTCCTCCTAAGAGTTGGGAAGCTGTCCCTCTTGCACCATGTGTCTGGAACCTCTTGGCTTTGGTCAGGCCCACCAGAACAGCTCCAGGAGATCGGCTCCCCTGCGGCTCCCACAGCCCTTGGCCTGCAGGGCCCAGGAATGCAAGTGAGGGAGGAGACGGAGGGCAGTGGCTGGGCCCAGGAAGTTGTTATGGCCAGGTCTGAGGCACCCCCTCCTCCTGGCTATCCAGCCTGATGTTTTCCAGGGTCAGAGGCTCTGCTCTTCTCTCCCTCCAGTTTCACTTTCCCAGCCAAGCCCTAGCAGTCTTTACTCTGGCCCAACCTCTTGGCGATTGATGTCTTGATCTTTGCCTTATTAAACTGCTGTAGTACAGTGACATTTTTGAAATCCAACCGTTGGTAGCTCTAGACCACTCCCACTACACCCATCCCTGCCCCACCCTACCCCACCCTGCTTGACTCCACCTTCTTTTCTAAAATGGCCTTTGGGAGCCTGGAAGTTAGGCCCTTTCTTTCCATCTCCCAGTGATTTGCTTTTCTTCTCCTGTTCCCTTTTTCTCAATGGAGACATAGGGCAGAGGGTGCCTGAGTGGTCCCTAAGTAGCCTTGAGCTTTGACTTCTCTTTTGTTTTCCTCTGCAGAATCTTCTTGGGACTCTTGCTCTTCCCAGAACTTTATATAACTCTAATTGGCCATTCTTACCCTTTACCAGCTTCCAGCCCCAGGTGGTACCATGGCTAAGCCCGCAGCCTTCAGATGTGAATGGAAATTTTGTAAGGAGATAGATTTAACCTTTCTTCTTCTTCTTCCTCTTCTTCTTCTTCTTCTTCTTCTTCTTCTTCTTCTTCTTCTTCTTCTTCTTTCTTCTTTCTTCTTTCTTTCTTCTTCATTTATTTATTTATTTATTTATTTTTGGTACTGGGAATCGAACTCAGGAAGTCATGCCAGCTCAGCAGGTCCTGTGCTACTGAACTATATCCCTTGACTTCTTCTTCTTTTTTTTTTTTTTTGGTGAAACCGGGGTTTGAACTTGCGCTTGCCAGGCAAGCACTTATTCTACTGAGCTAACTCCTTGGCCCCCTGGACTTCTTTTTTGTACTGGAGACTGAACGTAGATACTCTAGTGGTGAAGTATATATCCCAAGCCAAGTTTTTATTTTGATACAGTCTCACTAAATTGCTAAATTGCCTAGGCTGGGTTCCAACTTTTCATCCTCCCGCCTCAGCCTCTCACAGTGCTGTGATTTCAGGTATGTGCCACCACATCTGGCTTCTGGCCTTTTTTTTAAATATGTTTTGAGAAAAGGTCTTACTAACTTGCTTAAGCTGGTTTCAAACTTGTAGTCCTCCTGCCTCAGCCTCCTGAGTGGCTGGAATTCAAGCTTCATGCCCACTAAGAGGGACCATTGTCTTTTCCATTAGTTTTTTTTTTTTTTTTTTCAGTACTGGGGACTGAACTCAGGACCCTGCACTTAAGCGCTTAGTCTACTGAGCTATCACCCTGGTCCTGTCTTTTCCATTAGAAATACAAACAGTTTAGCAAGACAGCCAGGAAGTAAGGTAGGGCAAGCCCAGTAAATAAGTGAATAGTGTTTTAAATTGGTCCCTTCAGTTATCCGAGTTCCCTTGCTAGCCATATAAAGGACATTATTAGTAGACCTGGAGAAGACATTGTTTGCAGAATAGCCCAGGGGAGTCTGTAGCCTCTTGCTTACCAGGCCTTGTCTGTCTGTCTCCTTTGCCTCCTGGCGCAGCTGTCGGGCCTGGGACACCAGGCCAGTGCGGGCACACGTGGGGAGAGGCGGGGGTGGTGTGTGTACTTGTTATATTTAGCCACCTGCCTCTGTTCTTTCCCACTGATCCTAAGTGGGGCTGTGCTTCCGGAAGATGGGGGAGGTTTACACACTTAGAATCGCAGGCTGGTGGATGGTGGGGTGGACACCCAAGGGGACTCAGCCTGAGATGTCTGTCACCTTCCTTGTCTAGAGTAGGAGGGGCCGGGATTGCTTGCCTCTTTTTGTATCTACTGAGCTCAGGTTGAAGTGGAGAAAGGGCCATGAGAGTGGATAGAAAGGCATTGTCCCAGCCCCTCCCAAGAAAGAAGGTGTTGCCTGGTTTAATGTTTAATTAGAGCTCAGAGTTCAGGGGCAAGAGTGAATTTGGGTACAAAGCTGTCTGTAAAACCCTGGATAATCTTTGGCCCAGCCTGGGTATCTTGACCACACCCAGGGGTTCTCTTGTTGGGCTGGGTTTTAGGCTTGAATGAGAAGGTTGCAAGCATGGGTAAGGGGCATTTGCGGTTCATGCTTGGGATCTGGGCCCCACCCCAGCCAAGACAGCTGGGTGGATGACTCAGATGCTGCCCCCCTCCAGCTAGCCCAGGGTGGCTTTACAAGAGACAGCAGGAAACAGAGTGGAGATAGCAGACATCTTTTTTTTTTTTAATTGAGAATCAAACTCAGGACCTCATACATGTTAGGCAAGGGCTGTACTGCTGAGCTATATCTCCTATATGAAAGGAGAGGGATGGGGCTTGAACGTCTGCATCTTCTGCCCTCTCCCCTTGGCATCCTGGGGTCCCTTTCCTGCCTCCTTCCTTAGACCCTGTGGTAGTATCTGGAAGCAGGGCTCTGGACACTGTGCACAAGTAATTAAGAGTGCAGAGTGATCTAGAGAGATAGCTGGGGCTGCAGCACCATGCCAAGGCTTGTGCCTTCCCATGAGGAACTGTGGGAGGAAAGCTGAGTCCGAAATGGGGAGATCCCAGGCCCACAAAGGAGAAGCACCTCTTCCCCCATTGGGCCCTTGTGCTCAACGACTTCCTGGATTGCCTGCCTTTTTTGGCTCTGGTGTGGACAGGCAGGGAGATAGATGCAGGTTCCTGTCAAGAGCAGAACAGCATGGACCTTCTGACTAATTGTTGGATACTCTGTCTGTCTGTCTGTCTGTCTGTCTGTCTGTCTCTCTCTCTCTCTCTCTCTCTCTCTCTCTGGCTTTGGTGAGATGGTGAGACAGGGCCTCACTATGTTGTTTAGTCTGGCTGCAAACTCATGATCCTCTTGCCTGAGGATCCCCAGTGCTGGGATTACAGGTGTGTGTGTGTTACCATGGCTGGCTTCAGTTGGGTACTCCTATCATTGACCCTCACTTCTCTAGGAAGGGTCTCTAGGATAGGGACAAGTTGAAAATCTGGAGGGGTTAAGGTGAGGAGAGGTAAGTACGACTCCTGCGGCCTGAAGGTTCTGCTGTGGGACCAGTGTGGTGCCTTAATACTCGGCTGTCCTGCCTGGGCCTGTTAACTCTTGATCAATAGCCTTTGCTGCAGCCTGTACATGAAATGCCATAGATTATGAGACAGAGTTTGGGGAGCCTGGTGATTCATGTGTCTGGAGACTGTCCTGGACTTTCATGAGAATTGTGCACCTGGATTATAAAGAGGCTGTGCCCCTTGCCAGGACCATTGGGTTGGTGGAGATGGGGGTCTTTGAGGGTGCCCTAATGTTAGTTCTGTAAACTACCCCTTTCCCAGTCGCCATTCTGTTTGAAAGGGACTGAAGATACAGCTAAACCAGCAAAACCTGGGGCCTGAGAAGTAGTACTTAGGAACCCAAAAGAAATAGGCTCATTCCTCACCAGATTCCTAGTGCCTGCCCTAGGCCTCCAGGAGTCTGAGACTTCCTCTTGCATGCGTTGTGCCCATTGCCCCCTCTCCTGGTCCTCATTCAGTAGCACAGGGTCAGAGCTGAAGCCAGGGACAGCTGGGGAGACAACTGGTAGAAGATTCCTTTAATCTACCAACTGGGCCCTCTGCTTCCCCCCCCCCCCGCCTCCCCCCTCCCCAGTTCCTTACTACCTCCAGCAGCTGCAGCCCCAAGACCAAGTCTGGCTCCTGGGAAGCCCAGACACTAGGGACAGTCCCTCCCATTCTCACTTTCTGGCCCCCAGGAATGTGCTAAAGGTAACACAGGCTGAGTGCTAACAGTCTTGGAAACAAGCTAGGGAGGCCATGGGCGCTCTTTCCTGAGAGGCAAAGTGGGCCACCACCAAAACTGAGGTAGTGTGAGACAAGGGAAACCGCCCTGGCTCTTGGTGTCCTTAGTTGTAGACTTAGCCTTGCCACTAAATTGCTGTGTGACCTTGAGATAGTCACCTCCCCTCTCCAGATTTCCTCAGCTATGAAAGAAAGGGAGTTAGATCTCCAGAGAAGCCTTAGGTTCCAAATGTACAGTGACCCACAAAGAAAAGTCTCTTATTCTTTTCTTTTTGCTATTTTTAAAAATTAGATTTTATTGACACATTTTAGATATGCATAACAATCACATTCATCATAGGGAATTTCTATCTCTATGTGACTTTTCTTTTTAACAAAGCTTTAGGGGGGCTGGGGAGATGGCTCAGTAGAATAAGTGCTTTCCTGGCAAGCGCAAGGGTCTGAGTTCAATCCCCAGTTCCGAAAAAAAAAAAAAACAAAAAAACAAAAAACAAAGCTTTAAGGGGGGGAAGAAAAAAAAAAGGTACTTTAAAATACCAAGGGGCTGGGGAGGTGGCTCAGTGGAATAAGCGCTTCCTTGGCAAGTGCGAGGGTCTGAGTTCAATCCCCGGTTCCGCAAAAAAAAAAAAAACAAAAAAAAAACTTGCCTATTAGTAGGCAAGTCAAATATAATCAATGTCAATGTAATTAATAGTCGGGGGTATCCTCAATAGAAATATTTCCCAGAAGCAGTGGAATTAAAGACAGTAGTATAGCGCTGGTGTTGCACTCCTGTAATCCCAGCAGTTGCGGCTCTGAGGCAGGAGGACAGCTTCATGTAAACTGGGCTACTTAGTGAGTTCAAAGCTAGCTTGTGCTACAAAGTAAAACCCTTTCTCAAAACAAATAAAAACAAAACAAAACACTAGTGCTTTCTTCGATTTCCTGAGACAGTTTGACATTACTCTCTTGCTGTGTTCTATTTTCCATGCTGGTGGGAATAGTGACAAGGGCTTCAGTCAGGGGGACACGGACGGCTGGCACAAAAGTGACTCCCATTGCCAGACCTGTGGGGAGCTGAAGGGGAGGCCCTAGGGAAGGCAGGGGTACCTGCAGCCGGCCAGGACTAGACACCACATGCCTGGAGCAGAGAGCGGTACACGGTGACCTTGATCTGCCTACCTCCCACCCTCCTGCACCCAGAGAGCCCCCACCCCCCGGGCTCCCCCTGAGGCTGGGCTGTGAGGTCTAGGCTCTCAGCAGCCCTTTAAGAAAGGGGACAGTTTGGGAAGAGGGCTCTTTCCACCCCGCTGTCTAGTTGTGGGAGAGGAAGCCAGAATCGCGCTTGTCAAAGCCAGGAATTTTTCTGGCCGGTATCCTAGCCGGACAGGGGAGCTGAGTCACGGCGGAGAGGGCAGAGTACAGCGTGGCCAGGAGCCGAAGCCGGCGCTGGAAGACAGGCTGAGCGGTGGCTTTTCCTTGAGAACTGCCCTCAGGTTGCATTGTCAGGGGAAGATGGCCTGCGTTTGGCGGGGCACAGGTGGAGGGGGTGACACGAATGAGCCCCCGTAGCTCTGCGAAGCTAAAGATTCTTCACTGCGGGCTCCTGGGCAGTGGAGAGGAAACTGACGGCGGCAGAGGCTCCGGCGCTTCCGCCCCCTGTCGGCTGGGAGCCGGCACTGCATCTTCCCAGGAATGCAGTGGGACCAGAAGTCCTAGATCCTCCCCCACTTCCTCTTCTGACCTAAGGGTATGGCTCTTACTTTCTCCCAAATATGGGTTACCCATGTTGGTGGGTTGATGAGTCTCAAGACGGGACTGCTGAGTCGCCTTCTTGTGAGGATCCCTGAATGCTCCACCCTGTGGCCAGGGTCCTTCATTCCTCCTGTCTCAGGCCACCCCTTCCTACCTCCCTGTCCCTATTTCTCTTGGACTGTCCCCAGGCCACACCCTTCTTGCATTTTTGTGACAACACAGGAATGACTTTTGGAGAACTAGACCAGGAAGGTGGAGCATGGAGTTTAGCAGGGGACTTTGTGAGGAAAGTTGGTGAGGAAGCTAGCTAAAGAAGCCAGCTGCCGGGTGTCCAGGACTCGAATGCCCCAGCCTCTGGCCCCAGCTCCTTTGTACAATGCCACGTTGATACAACCAGCAGCTGTGACTCAGGCCTGGCCCTGTGCCAGGCCCAGCGCCTCTGCTGGAGTTGTGTCTGAACATGTCAGCAGGCCTCTGTCCCCCCTCAGCACTAGTGCCCCCTGCCCCAGTCCCTCCCTTCTCCTGAAATTAAGACCTGGCTTTGTCTTGGGGGAAAAACAGCTGAGAGCCTGGCCACTCTGAAAGGTCTGAGAGGCCTCAGACCCAGGGCATGTTTGGCAGTTGCCACACCCAAGAGAGGGGTGCAAAAGCTGGGCCCTGCCAGCTGTGAGCGCATGTGTCTGGGTGGGAAGGTCCAGCCCAGTGTACCTACCTGTGATTTCCAGGTGTAAGACAGCCAGAACTTCACAGGGGAGGGTTTGGGGAAGGCTCAAGGGGCTTGTAAGTCCTGGGGACACCTGCCACCCTGTTCTTTTCAGGTTCTCCTTTCCATAGCAGTCCTTGAATGCCAGGGAGAAGAGTCCTCCTGGCTCCACACTGCTGTGGGTGCTGATAGGGTTGGCAAAAAGTGATAGGCTCACTGGGCTATGGAGGTACACGTGTCTCCCAGGTCTCTCAGTCTTATTCTGCCTACCTGCCTTCTTTCTCTCCCCTCTCCTGTCCTCCCCTCCTCTCTTCTTTTCTCCATAGGATCTCACTACGTACGTAGTTCAAACTAACCTTTAATTCACTTATGTAGCCCAGGCTAGACTGGAACTTGTGATCCTCCTGCCTCTGCCTCTGGAGTGCTGGGATTACAGACGTGTGCCACCATACTCTGCTCAATGGGCCATTCATTTCCCTTTACTTCTCTGTTTCTGGAAATGGAACCCAGAGCCACACACATGGTGAACACACATTACACTGAGCTACATCCCCAAATCCCTTATGCCATTTTATGTTTCCTCCCTGTCTGCTGTGAATGTCCTCAGGTGACCTGGTGAGCAGATTTTTAGTGTTGAGCTACCCTGCTCCAAGCCTTAGTTCCCCACCTGTAAAAGTGCAAGAAAAGTTCCCAACTAGAAAGCCTGAGCATGTGGGCTGCCTAGTGTCGGGGCCTTCAGAGGACATAGGGGAAAGGCCCCAGCCTCTGCCGATATTCACCAGCTGAAACCAGAAGAGCAGAACCAGGCAAGGGCTGGGGTGGAGTTCTGCTGAGGAAGGGGAAAAGGGTGTGGAGGGAAGATATACCATACTGCAATAGGAGGATTTGCTGGAACAGAGGGTGGATCAAACGTAGAAAGCTTTTAGGCCAGGTGTGGCAGTATACCCAATGTTATCTCAGGAGGCTGAGGCAGGAGGCTGAGGCAGGAGGATTAATGAGGCCAGCCTGGGCTACATAAGCAAGTTTCAGACCAGCCTGCATAGCAACACCCTGTTTCAAAAACAACAGTAGTTTGTAACTAAATGTACACTATACAGGTTATTCATATGTATGCATATTGTTTAGTTTTTTAATTTAATTTTATTGAGATGGTATATGCCACCACTGGGCTGTATTTGGTTTTGAGAGTCAGGCTCTGAGTATGTAGTTCAGCCTGGCCTTGAAGAAATCCTCCGCCACACCCCATGATACAATTTTAAAAACAATGGAATTGCTTCAGGCCATGGTGGCTCAAACCATACCTGTAATCCCAGCACCCTGGAAGGCTAATTGCAAATTCAAATCCAGCCTGGACATCTTTAGGACTTAATGAGACCCTCTCAAAATAAAAGTAAATGAAATAAAAGGGGCTGGAGATTTAATTTAGCTCAGTGTGACAATGCCCTGGATTCAACCCCTGGTACACAGGCCCTCACACGCACACACGCGCGCGCGCACACACACACACACACACACACACACACACACACACACACACACCCCACCTGGGGAACTGAGAGGAGGAGGAGGGTGCAGGCAGCTTTGGGATACTGTGGAGATGTCCATTTAGGGTGGCGGCAGGAGACCCCTATCCTGCCCTTCGCCCCCGGAGGATCTGGGAGATCTCCCAAGGGCTGGCACTACCAGCCCTGCCACTCACCCAGGCCTTCGCAGCCACAGGGGGCGCCTTCCCCGGGAGGCAGGAAGTACCCCGGCCCGAGAGCGTGGCTCCCCCTCCCCTCCCCGTGGAGGTACCTCTGCCTCAGCGCCATGGGGAACTCGATGGGGAGCTCAGAAGGCCGGTGAGGCTGGGCTACCCAGATGGGACTGGCTGGGCCGCCCGGTGGGTGTGGGCTTCTCCCCGCCCTGCTTCTTTGTCCCCTCCCACTTTTTATTTTTAGCCCCCGTCTGAAGTCTGTCTGGCCGGCCAGCCTCTCCCAGGCAGGGAGGAAATGCAGGCCTCTCCCTTCGGGCGGCACGTTGCTCCCAGCAACCGCGGCAAACAGGCTGCTGGCTTCCTTATCTGGCTTGCGAGCCGCAGGGGACTGTGACTCAGTGGGCGGGCAGCAAGACCGCCCTGGGTGTCCACTAGGTCCTGTGTGGCTGGCGCCCTTCGACCCAAACCCACCAGCCTTGCCTCGTGGACCCTCCTAGCCTGGGCACCTGCCAGCCCCACGGCTCCTTTTACCTCCTTTCCTTGAAGCTCCCCGCCCCCATCCATCCCCCCTGTCCTCTTCCTGTGGTGGGATTTACCAGCGTGGGATGAGTTCAACAGGATGCCCAGCCCTTCTTGCCCCAGGAGGCTGCCAAGGATGGAGCTACTCCTGTGGTGGGGGCACATGGAGGATGCAGGAGAGGGAAGAGTGGGTTCCTACCATCATGGCCCTGGGCCCAGAGTAGGATTCGGAAGTCAGGGTCTCCCCTGTGAGCACTAGAGGATTTCCCAACCCTTGCCCTGGTATTGTCTGCCTGTGTGTGAGTCACCTGAACAGGCCAGACTCCCACCCTTCTCAGCTCCTGGCTTGCCTCACCCTTTCCTCCTGATGCCAACCCCACTTTCCAGCCACGGTGCTCTACATGTGCCTTGCCTTCCCACCGCCATCCCCTGGAGACTGAAGCCTGGGCCTGTGGCACCTGTAGGGGCTGAATGCCTGGCCAGTGTCTGCTGTGGTCCCTGCTGGGTCCGCAGCCTCTCCTAGGAAGGAAATGGTGATTGGTGCTCCCTAGGTCTGAGTCATGGGCCCATGGGTGATAGTGGCTTCTTCCCCACAGTTGGGAGCTCCCCATGCCTGACTAAGAAAACCGCAGGGGCGCTTCCCTGCTTCCCTAGAGCTCGTAGTTTCCTTCATCTGCAGGGTGTGTCTTAGTTCTTTAATTGTCTCTCTGCAGTGCTAATCAAACTTGTGGGAAGGGCTGTGGGTGTAGCTCAGTGGTAGAGCACCTGCCTAGGGAGCTGGGGAACCCCGGGGCCAACCCCTAGCATCTTGCACCTCCAGGAGGGAAGGGACAGAACCTTGGTAGTTTCTCTGGAAGCTGGTGTATCATGGCAAGTGCTGGTACATCATCCATTTCCAAGTCTGCTACCGATTTGCTACAGGACGTCTCTGCCTTGATTTTTATAAAAATAGCGATTGCATCTTTCTCAGAGGGTAGCTATAAAGGTTAAGTGAGTTGACGTTGTAATATTTAGAGCATTGCCTGGTCATAATAAGCTGTGTGTTTATTCTTAGTGGTGTGCCCCGTAAGTTTTAGTCAAGGGCAGACCTTATATATGAAAGGTAGTTCCCTCTCTGCCCCAAAAGATTATATTGTCAGCAACATATCGTAGCTGTTTTAATTTGCCTAAGTATACTAGGATGTTTGCACAAGGAAATTGTCAGCCTCTCAGAACATAACCTGTCATTAAGAGACTCATGATGTGACCATATGACATATATATATATATATATATATATATATATATATATATATATATATATATATATATATATATATATATATATATATGATTAGAATCCAGAGCCAAGGCAAGTGCTATACAACTGAGCAGTACCCCCCAGCCCATGTTATTATCATTACCATGACCCCCATCTTTGGGAGCAGCAGGAAGAGGTTACAGTGAAAACAAAACAACCAATTCAACTCCTGTGCGTGTCAGATCTTCAGCTACCAGAGGACAGGGCTTGTCTTCCTCAGCATCTGCTGGGCATAGCCAAAGACAGATTTTTCCAAGGAGAACCCCAGGAGGCTGGGGAATCGAACCACGGTCCTCTGCGCCTGACTGGGTTTGCTCCAGCAGGCGCTTAAACAACTGAGCTAAACAGCAAGCCCCCAGGACTAGGGAAGAGATGTCCTCAAGATTCAGGTTGAAGGCACCCTGCACTCCTTCCTGTCTCCCAGCTCGGGCTGCTCCTTTGGGGCATCTTGTGGCACAGGGTCTGCTTTGGGCCTTGTGGTCTGGGAAGGCAGTGGTGAGGGGAGCAGGCCCAGACCATTAGCCAGCTTACATGCCCACCCACCTCCCTCCTTTGCGCCTCAGATGCCTCATCTGTAAAAGGAGGAGGCTGAGCCGCGGGGTAGTTCTCTAAATTCAGGGAGGTTCTGCGCGTGGCCAAGCTACTGCAGTTGCCCTGCGGGGTAGAGAGGCCTCTTCTGGCAAGCACATGCCAGCCTTGGAATGGGCCCAAGGAGCCTGGAGTCTCTGTGTGCCTCCTCGCTTCACTTTACCAGCAGTTTTTCTTCATTTTCCTCCCTCCCCCTGAAGTTGCCTCTGCTTCGGAAAAGTTCTGAAGTCATGGAAAGTTGGGGCTGTGCTCCGAGCCAGGGGCTGGGCCGGATGGCAGCCAAAACCTGAGCTGGGTTTTGACTTTATTTTTAGCTTTTTAGGCTGAGACAGAAGACGGAGATGATCCTGGGGTTCTGGAGGGCCTCTTTTTGAAGGAGACACTGTTGCATTAGACAATCTGTTGTCCTTCCCCAGTTCCCTGGGGTGTCCCTCTGTCTTCTTCCCAGCCCTGTAGAGGCCAGTTGGGGTGACTCCTTGTTTGGAATCTCCAAGTGTCTCCTCCCTGCTGAGCTTCCAGCAGTCTAGCCTCTCTCCCTGTCTTCATGGAGCTAAGGGCTTTCGTGGCGGGAGAAAAGTGTTGGCACAGCTGCGTGCTTCTTCCTCCCTGGGGCAGACTTTCCCCGCCTGTCCGAGTTTGCTTCTCATGTTTTCCATCTGCCACACAGAGCTCATGTTTGGGACTGATGTGCTATAGACAGCAGCTGGGACAAGGCCCTAGGATCCTTTCTTCCACTCCCTGGTTCCACAGTCTGCTCTCCACCTGTATTTGTGAAGCAACTGTAATGTCAGCCTGGAGGGTTCTTGGGTTCCCTGGAGACCGTGAGGAAATAGGACCTCTTGTTTCTCTAGCTCACTGGCAGAAAAGACCAGGGGCCCCGGAAAGTGCAGAGGGCAGGGCAGCTCGGAAGTTGGTTCCAGCAAATAGCTTTGCCAGTCTGAGGAGCAGGGAGGCTCCAGCCAGGAACTCAGATAGACTCAGAGGTCAGGGAGGCACATCTGGAGCCAGATGCTGAGGCTTAAGGCTAAGGGGTGGGTGGGACTTTTTCTCAGGCCTGTCAAAGAGGGGGTGGGGACCTTTCTGCTTTCCCTAGTCTGGAGGCCCAGAGAAGGCCTCGGAGAGAGAAGGCTCAGTACTGTGCCTCAGTGTCCTTGCCCCAGGTCTCTCCTTGAGCTCTAACCAGACTTTCCTTCTTCAGTGTTCCGTGCTGTAAAAGGGGTCCGGAGAGGGGACCACCGGGAGAGGGAACCACTGCTTTGGGGCTCAGAGAGAAGTAGTAGGGGAACGTGGTGACCCCAGGCGAGGGAGCCTTGCCCTCTGGCTTCTCAGAGGGAGGGAAGCCCGGCTGAATGGCCAGTGGGTGGAGTCCAAGCAGGAGAAGGTTAAGGCTGTGTGTGGGAAGGGATGAGAGACAAAGGTGCCCCTGTGTCTTTTGGGAGGAATGGGTGGAGAGAGGGAAAAGCATTCATATCATGGGATCTAACTTTGCCCTTAGCCCTAGGCACGTTCCTGAGCCCTGAGTCATGGGAAGGGTGGAGAAGCAGGAAGGGGGTTTGGGGGACCTGGGGGAGGTGGGAGCCCTGAGCGGGCTGGCAGATGTGAACAAACCTAAAACCAGGACGCCACCTCCTGGCAGCTGGAGGGACAGCTGACTCCTCTGTAACCCATTCTTCCTCTTTTTCTTTAGCAATACCAAAAAGGAGGGTGACCTGTTGGCTGCCCAGGCCCGGCTCAAAGACCTGGAAGCTCTGCTGAACTCCAAGGAGGCTGCACTGAGCACTGCTCTCAGTGAGAAGCGCACGCTGGAGGGCGAGCTGCACGACCTGCGGGGGCAGGTGGCCAAGGTAGGCAGCCTCAGGGCCCGCGGTGACCACCTTGCACCAGCACACTTGCTCTCCCTCCCCCCTCCCCCGCCCCCAGGCGTGCCTGGTGTGCCCTCCACTTAGCCCAAGAGCTGTGCACCTGTCCTGGCATTTCTGCTCATCCGGATCATGTCTTAGCCTCCTTTGGCTGCTTAGGGACCTAGCATAAGAAATTTCAAGTAGGGCCAGGGAGATGGCTCAGTGGAATAAGCACTTCCCTGGCAAGCGCAAGGGCCTGAGTTCAATCCCCGGTTCTGCCAAAAAAAAATTAAGTAATCCAAAAACAGTGTCTGTTTATCTATGGCTGGCCCTGGATCCCTCCCATGGACAGCTTTTGAAGAAAGCTCTGGAAGAAAGAAAAAGAAGAATAGCTATCCCTGCAGCCATAAGGGGGAGCCGATGGCTAATCACATCAGGCCTGCATAACCATATGGTGGCGTGCACGTCACAAACATTAGTCCCTGTCTTCTCTGCTGCTACTTTCCCATGTTACAAGCAAGGGCACAGAATCAGTTGAAGAAGGTAGCTTGGTCTCAGTATCACAGCCTCCTCTGCTCACAGCAGGCCAGGACCAGCCAGTGGGAGTCTCCCATCCTGGCCTCTTCACAAACCCGGCCACCACACTACACCACACCACAGAAAATCTATGTCCTGCCCTGCTCCCCAGCCCTCCCTGCCCGGCTGTGCTGACCAGCCTGCACTTTCTAAAATGAATGCCGTAAAGCCCAGGTATGGTGGTGCACATCTGTGATCCTAGCACACAAGAGGCTCACGCAGGCGGATTGCTGCAAGTTTGAGGCCAGTCCGGGCTTCAAAGTGAGTTCAAGGCCAGCCTGAAATGCGTAGTGGGACTGTCTCAAACCACCCTAACCCCCCAAAAAATAAAACGAATACTATCGTGCTGGATGTGGTAGCTTGTAATCCCAGCATAGGGAGGCTGAGGTTGAAGGATTACCTCGAGTTTGAGGCCAGCCTGGGCTATATAGTAAGTTCAAGACTAGCTGAACTGGGGCTGGAGAGATGGCTCAGTGGTCTAAAGCACCTACTTGAAACAAGCTTGGCAAAGCACAGGGACCGCTGTTCGATCCCCAGCACCACATGCCAGCCAGCCCCGCCCCCTGGTGGGCTGAGCTGGCCACACACACACAATAAATAAATGTAATAAATAAAAATAAATAA